CTCCGCCCCCCTCCTGTTCCTCCCCCTGCTTGATCGTCAGTCAGCTCCGCTGGCCCTTCCCCGCCTTTCTCCTGACTGTGCCCTCCTCACCCCTTTTCTCGTGTCCGTCTTCCCTCTTGCCCATCTTCTGCCTGCCTGCCCTGTGCCCGCCGCCTTGCTGCCGCGCTGCTCGCCTGCTGTGCCGGCTTGCATCTGGTTGCCCGTGCGCTGTCGGCTGCTGCCTGGCTGTGGTGCCCCTTGGCTGGCTATTGCGCCGTGCGAGGTGTGCTTGGAACCAGTGGAGGTGGTTGCGCTTTTCCGCAGTCACGCCATCGGGGACCCGCCGGCAGTGTGCTGCAGTGCCTGTGCGCCTGTGCTTGCTCGTGCGCTGCTGTGCCTGCCGCGCTGCCGCTCGGTGTGCTTTCTCTGGCGTCCCCCTTTCTCCCCTCTCCTCGTTGGCAGCTGGCTGCCCCCTTCTCCCGTGTGATCTGACCTGAGCCTTGACCCCCTGTGTCGCCTGCCCTCTGAGGCGGTCCCCGCCCGCCCGCCTGGCCGCTCCCCCAGCTTCTGTGCCGGGGTGGGTGGCGTCTCTGAGCCGCTTGCGCCGCCTGCTGGCGGTCCTGGCCCTTGATCCCCCTCTTTCCCCTGTCTTTTGCCCCCCGTTTCCCCTCCTCACACCTCTCTGACAGTCACTGGGCTGGCTCCCAGGCACCCTCCGCTTTCCCTGCCGCCCGCTGTGCCCGATCGGCTCCTCGCAGCCCCGCGCTCCGCCGCCCTGTCTGATGGTTGGTTTCATACTCGTATTGTCCAGAGCTAGTGGGCGCGGCTTGTGTGCCCCCAGCCCTTTAAAGGGCCCGGTTCTCTGTAATCTCAGTCAGTCGGTCAGTCAATCGTGGCCACCGCAGCCTGGCGGCCGAGGTGCGGCGCCGCCGTGATGCCCCGCCAGCCAAGCTCGCCGGCCCGCGCTTCACCCAGCTCACACTCAACGGCTTCCTGCGCCAGTTGGCCTCACAGCCTCTGCCGGCGCGGCCTCTTCCAGCGACGGCACTCAAGACCCGCCGCCCCCACCGCTGGAGGCGGCTGCGCCTGGCCTGCAGCCCTGCAGCCCGCAGCCACGCCACTGGAGGCTGCCCGTCGCACGGCGCTCCACGCCTTTGGTCCCTTCTTGCTGATTTTGAGGCCCTGGGCTGTGCCCCCCGCCTCCTGGGTTGGCAGCGTCGGCCCCGCCCACCCCTTCTTCTTCTCTACCGGCGGCCGCGTTCAGCTCCGCCCCCCTCGTGTTCCTCCCCCTGCTTGATCCGGCAGCGGCTAAGAACATTTCTGCGCGAGCACCACCGATTCCCGGCAGCTTCTGCTATATGTTACAGGATGCAGGGCATCCTTGGAATCAAAACAAAAGGCAAGGGTTTCTACAGCAATGGCGGGCTCATGGGAGACAGCCAGCGGACACTGAGGGCAATGCATGCAGCCAAAGGAAGAATATGCGGCCAGCACACAAGGCTGCCACCAGAAATGAAAGTGCGATAGCGGAAAAGGAGAATCCCGGAGGACGGTTTCATGGCTGCAAGGAAACGTCAGTTCAAAAGATGTGGCACAGGGTTGGGAGCTCAGCCAGCCTGCTAGACTTGACAAGCATCAGGCTCACACCGCAATCTCAGGCATGGCGCATGCCGCATCGGTGCCGGCATGCAAGTGCCAGGTCCAGGCACCAGAAACGTCACTCGTACTTGATGGGCCCTCCAAGGCTGCCGCTGGCAAACTGCCGCACAATGGGCTCATCTGCAGCACAGACATGAGGTTGCGATGCGGTTAGAAAAGGCATGAGCTGGCAGCCAGAGCTGGCCAATGCAGGCAAGCGGGCAAGGGGGCTTGCCTGTGGAGTCAAACTCTTCCACGGTGCCCTCCCACACCACCTTGCCCTCATGCAGGAAGATGATGCGGTCCACTGCAGGACACGGGTGCAGACACAGGGTGAAACAAGCTTGCTAGGACGAGAGTCCAACAGGGAGAAAAGCACCGCGCTGGAGCTAGAAAAGGGGGCAGCCCCTGGCAGTGCTTGAACGGCCAAGTGCGCAAACCAGGAGCCCGGCTGGCCACACAACTTGACCAAGCCCTCGCCCATCTTGCGTACCTGCCCTGCGGATGGTGCTGTGCTGGTGAGTCACCACGATGTAGCTGGTGATGCCGCCAGGCGGGCACGCAGGTTGCTCTGCCGCACCAGGCTGCGCAGGGGCGGCCTTGCCGTTGCCATTGGCGCCGCCATCCCTGCCGACAGCCCACCGGTGCTTGCCGTTGCTGTGGTGGTGGTGGTGCTGGTGCCCCTCTCCATGCTTGTCGTGCAGGTCACGGATCAGGTCCTCCACCACCGTGGAGGCCACAGGGTCCAGCCCCGCGGTCGGCTCGTCATACATGATGACCTGCATGAATGACAGGAGGGCAAGCCAGGGCGGCGGGGCGAGAGTGAGCAAACCTGCAACCGCATGAGCACTGCTGCCGCCACCGCTCCTCCGCCGTACCCACCGCGGGCCACGGGGCTGGCACCACGCAGCGGCGGCTGGCTGCCATGCTGCCCCACGGTGTGCCCACCAAGCCTGCAAGCTGCCCCACACCAACACGCCCCACACACCCGCCATACACACCCACGCAGCCCTGCCAGCCCCACACCTGCTCCACAAAGTCGTGCTTCTCGTCGCGCACAATGGCCCGCGCCAGCGCCACCCGCTTCTTCATGCCGCCACTCAGCTCAGACGGGTACAGCTTCTCCACGCCGCTCAGCCCCACCTTGCCCAGCGACTCAGCCACCAGCTCCTGCAGACGGGCAAAGGCAAGGGGCAGGCAAGGAACGGGCAGCGCCGGGGGCGGGGCACGGTGAGCGTTGCGGCGTGGTGGGTGGGGGCGGCCGCAGGCTGGGGCCCAGCAAGAGCGGCAGCCGATGCATCGCCTCGCATGCGCGCCAGCAGGCGCCTGGGCAGCGTGCTGGGGGCGCCCGCTGGCCCGCTGGGCCTTGGCCGCTGCGTTTCGCGGACAGGCTTGGTGTGTCGCAGCGAACGCCCCGCACCTCTATCTTGTGCGGCGCCAGCTTGGTGTGCTCGTGCAGCATGAAGCCCACGTTCTCGCCCACGGTCAGCGAATCAAACAGCGCCCCGCTCTGCGCGCGTGGCAAGGCAGGGGTGGGTGGGCGGCGCACGAGCGGGTGGGCGGGGCAAGGGAGGCGCCTTGGGGGCTGCGGCGCGCGGTCCCCGCTGCCCCCTGCGCCGCGGCCGGCGGCGGCCGCTCGCGCTTCGCTGCCTGCCCGCGCCGCTCCCGCCAGCCCGCGCCGCTGCTGCTGCTTGCCCACCTGGAACACCAGCCCCACTTTCAGCTTGTCGCTGGTGTCGTCATCTGAGATGAGCCCCTTGCGGGGCTCCCCCTTGATGAGCACCTCCCCCCTGTCTGGCTGCAGCAGGCCCGCCGCCAGGCGCAGCGTGGTGGACTTGCCGGTGGCCCCTGAGCCCAAGATGCCCACCCGCCTAACCGCGGCGACCCTTGAAGGTGCGCCCCCGCAGGATGTCTTGCCTGCGCGGGGGGGGGGGCGGGGTCGAAGGGTCGGGGGGGGCAAACAAGGGGGACCAGGGGTCAAAATTTCGGGTTGGGCGGGCGGGGCGGGGGGGGTGGGACGCGGGGCGGTGCAGGAACCGGGCCGGCGGGCGTGACAGCCAGGGCGGAGAGACGAGGAGCCACGCGGGCAGCGAGCGAGGGCTGCCGCAGGTGGGCGCAAGGAGCGACAGGCGGCGAGCTGGGCGAGGGGGCAGGTGAGTGACAGGGCTCACCTGCCAAACGACTTCCACACGTCCCGAAACTCTATCAAGACATCCGCCTCTGCGGACTGTCCGTTGGTGCCGCCCGCCGCTGCGGGGGCCGGCGGCGGCACCGCGCTGCGCTGCTGCTGCTGCAGCTGCAGGGGTGCTGCGCTGCACGACACTTGTAATCGTGGCGGGCGGCTGCTGCTGCTGCGCTGCGCCAACGTAAGCAACGGCTGGCCTAGGCTGGCCGGTGGGCGGGGCAGGCGCTCGGCTGCGCCCCGCCGCCGCTGCCCGCTACCGCTGCCGGCGGCAGCTTGCGTGGCCGGTTTACGCTGCACGGCTTGCCGCATGGCGTGAAGTGGCTGCCCCCCGTGCCCGTGGCAGCGCCCCCAAGAAACTCCCCCACTGCAGGCTGCTTGAGCGGTGTCGAAGCTAAGCTGCAAGCCAGGGGCAGGCTGCAGCCGCTGCAGGCCACTCACAGCTGCTATGTGGGTCTGCTGGCACGCCTGGAGCGCAGGCAAGCGGCGCACTGCGGCAGGCAGGAAGGGGGATAGCGAGCCCGCCAGAAACGCGGGACGTGAACGCCAGCGGAGTCCACAGGGTGAACAGAGGGTGGGGATGGAGGCGCAGGAGTCGGGGCCGACTCTTTCGAAGGGGCTGACATGGCGGTGAAGGAAGGAAACAATGAGCATAGCGTGCAGCCGCCATACCCCTTCTTCTATACCGGGCGCCTGCACCTGTTTCAACCACAGTTCCGTCACGCACTGCACACATGCAGTGAGCACCAGAAATTGTGGCGGCGCCCTCAGTTGTGAACAGCAGGCCGATATGCAGCAGGTGTTGAGCGTTCTGAGCGTGTCACGGACCGTGGCGCTGCGCGCCGCCGCGGGGAACGGCGCCAGAGGCGGCCGTCGCGGCATGGCGGCGGCAGCGGCGGCCCAGGGTGGCAGGGCCCCCGGCGGCAGGCCCCAGCAGCGCCCACCAGGCAGGCAGGCGCTGCAGACACGCGGCCCGAGGCCAGCGCCCCTGTTTGGCCACGAGGCGCCTCCTGGTGGGGGCGGTAGCGGCGGCGGCGCCAGGGCGCCGCGCCCCTCCCAGCCACAAGAGCAGCAGCAGCAGCAGCAGCAGCAGCGCCGGGCGCGTCCCGGCAGAGCAGCGGGGCAGCAGCGGCAGCCAAAGTGGCTGGAACAGCGGGGGCCCCAGCTGCCAGTGGAGGCGTCGCCGGTGGCGCACGCCTCGGCGCCGCGGGCCGCGCTGACGGCGGCGGG